CACCAGGGTGTGGCAGACACCACACCCATGGCAAACAAGGCAGATTCTTCCACACCCTGCCACCTGTGTGTGGCAGACACCACAGCAGGGTGTGGTGGAGTCGGTCTTGCTTATTTTCACGTTTTTCTCAATTCTTTTCCTCAATTCCTTCGTCGTTTTCATAATTTTCCACCTCGGCGAAGTTTTTTCAAAACTGAGTCGACACCAACCAAATCAAACGTCTCACTTATTATGTCTAGTACGAAGTGGAACAAAACCACGACAACGGACTCAATCCACAACAAGTCGAGACCAAAACGAGAATGCGAACACTCTCCAAATGTTGGTATCAACTCACCAAACCGGCTGCATCAAATTAACTGCCTACGTACCCCCTCTCCCAATGGATCAAGTCGCCCGTAGTTCATCAAACGGCCTCCAAAGACCCTTAATCAAATAGAAAAAATTATAACTCTTCACCAACATCACCAACGGATCTGCAACTGATGACGCTCCCAATGACCCCAAAGTGAAACAAATCAAACACCTCCACCTGAGGTGAACCAATGGTCGTATCCAAATCACATCCACCAGCTACATTCGAATCAACCAACTCATCATCTGCACCCAAATCCAAATGATCCTCTAACTATGTCACCTCAGCTAAAATCCCAAAGGATGCAGAATGATTTGGAGTATGTGGAGTAATCTCCACCCAATGTGGAGTAGCATCACTCTCCATCCGCTGCGATACATCTAAGGTCTATCCAAAACTCTCCACCTGCTGAGTGTCAATTAGCTCCCTCATCGAAGCCTCAAGCAAAGTGACACTACCAAACCAAACATCCAATGGAGTTTTACCTCCAATAGCAGCAGTCGACAACCTATGACGAAGTGACACTACCAAACCAAACATCCAATGGAGTTTTACCTCCAATAGCAGCAGTCGACAACCTATGACCAAGATGACCCAAATAAACATCCAATGGAGTTTTACCTCCAATAGCAGCAGTCGACAACCTATGACCAAGATGACCCAAATATGTCAAAGCCTTAACACCAGAATCAATGCTTGACATCAAACGTCGGTCCTCCTCTAGTAAGAAATAGCTCACCAAATCTGCCATCTCATCTTGTTGTCCCATGATTTCCTTTTCACCAAAGTGTCTCAAAATGTCGTGAGCTCGGCTCAAATGCAAAAATAGGTCTATCTTGTACCTCCCACCAAAATCAGAATGAAGTACCCTCACCTTTCTGCCAATCTTACACTTCTTCAATCTGTTGGAGATTACTAGGACTTTATCCAAAAGGGATTTGGTTGCAACCCAAACACGCCTAGAACAACCATCAACAAAAGAAACCAAACATCTATTATCTCCCAATGATGCCTCCTTGGAAGGCCCCAAACATCCGTGTGAACTCCACCTAAAAGACCCTTAGTGCGGTGAATAGAGGTGTCAAACTTCACCTCAGTCTTCTTGCTCACATCAAAGTGTTCACTAGAATTCAAATTGCAGGTCTGTGCACCCATCTCCAAATCAATACTGGAATGACTAAGCTCCAAATGCCACAGTCTAGTCAAATCAACAGAAGTCGCCAGCTCTCTACCTGTCACTGAACTTCCAATCAAAAAGTACAGGTTATTCCTCCTGACGCCCTTCGTCACAATCAAAGAGTCTTCCACGATCTTGAGAACCATGTCCTCAACACGAACCTTCAGACCCTCTCCAACCAAAGCTCTAATTGAGATCAAGTTTTTCCTCAAGGAAGGAACATATCTCACACCATATAACTCCCTAATTGTCCCGTCAAACATCTTGATGTAAATTCTTCCTATCCCAAGGATCTGACATGCACGATTGTCACCCATGTACACCACACTACTATCCAGCTTCTCAAAACTAGAGAACCATTCCTTTCTAGGACACACATGATAGATCGCACCACTATCCAACATTCACTCGGATTCCTCCGAATAGCTACCTGTAGGACTGATAGAAAGCGAATAAATAGAAGTATCAGAAATATTATTATCCGATATAACGATGTTTGCTTCAGATGATGGTTTCTTCCCTTTTCCCTTCTGCTTATTCTTCATCCATTCCTCGAGCTTTGGACAATATTTCTTCCAATGACCAGTCTCCTTACACCAAGCACACTGATCTTTTCCAACTGTAGGATACCCTACTCTAGACTATGACTTCCAAGTCTTTCGATTTGGATTCTTTCCTCTTGCGACCAACGCCTTCGCTACTGTGTCACTTGTAGACTCCTTATCTTTCTTTCGAAGCTGATAGTTCATAAGTACAGCGGTAACCTCACTATACGAAAGAGATGTCTTCCCATTGATAAGAGTAAAGACGAAAGTCTCATATTTCTCGTCAGGCAAGGAACTCAACAACAACAATGTCTTGTCTTCATCTTCAATCATAACATCTACATTCGTCAAATCCGCAAGAAGCTTCGTGTAGTGGTTCATGTGATCACCAATGGAGGTTCCTTTTTTTAATTGAAAGCGATAAAGCCTCCTCTTCAAATGCAAGCGATTCTCCATACTCTTGGTCAAATACTTGCTCTCAAGGATCTCCCAAATCTTCTTAGCTAAAGTTTCATTGATCACATTATACTTTAAATCTTAAGTCAAACACGACCTAATCACACCACACGCTGTTCGATTCATCTTCTGCCAAACCCTCTCATCAATATCATCTGGCTTGCCATATAATTTCAAAGTATCTTCTAAATTTTGCACGTTGAGCGCATCCAAGATTTTACATCGCCAAAGTCCAAAATTGTTAGTGCCATTAAACTTCTCCATATCTATCTTCATAGAGTGAATATTCAAACTTTGGACGGTTTTCACACCTAAAGTACCTTTCACAACTCCTTCTTTCCCGGCCATAATTCCTCAAAGCACCAACAATCAAAACGGAACAAACAAAGAATAGATCCAAAACTGATAAAAGATAAAATTTTTACCAAAAAGATCCTACCTTTAACTCCAAACGAAGCCCTAGCTGAACTTCCAAAGTGATCTACTCCTCCAAATAGCCCAAGCGTAACCTGAGCTCTGATACCACTTGTTGTGCATGGCGGAACAAACACAAACGCCGCGAGAGAAAGCCAAAATAATCCAAAAATAATGGCACCTACTCAAACACAAAAGTTTAACATGGTTCAGCAAATTGCCTACGTCTACGGGGCAAGAAGGGATGAGTTTTCACTATAGAGAAAGAGAGTACAAAGTAGAGATTACAAGATCACTCAACTAACCTCTCAAACAAATCTCTCAAATCTCTCAAATCTCTCAAACTAAACCCTCAAACAAATTGCTCAGAAAAATCTCTCTTTTCTGTGCTCAAAATCACCTTCAAGCTACCCAATCAATCTATAGAAAACCCTAAAAAATGTGGCTCTATTTATAACAAAACACAATCCCAAACAGATTAGGATTCTAAAAACGAGTCTGCCACACCCTAGTGTGGCACACACCACACCGATGGCAAATAGGATAGATTCTGCCACAACAGTGTGTGGCAGACACCAAACCCATGGAAAACAAGACAGATTCTGCCACACCCTGTCATTTGGGTGTTGCAGACACCACACAAGGGTGTGGTGGAGTCTGTCTTGCTTATGTTTCATGTTTTTCTCAATTCTTTTCCTCAATTCATTCGCCGTTTTCACACTTATTAGCCCTCAAAAGGAAGACCTCCTATTTTCGAGACAGGTTCCCATCTTTAAGCTCTCCCCTAATCCCAATGCATGCCTCCAAATTTGAACCTTTAGAATTTAGATTTTCATAAAGGGGGTGCTTGGCAAATTGAGAGTTAGCTCAAAGGGTGAAAGTCATTTTATTTTTATTTATGACCTCAACATTCGTGTCATCGTGCAAGAGAAATGCAATATTTATTTGAAAAATAAATTATAGTTAAAAGGTACTAAAGTGAAGATGAAATACTAAACTATAGTTTATTGATAAATATAGTTAATGCCATCTAAAGTATTAAAAACAAGTCACTTTATCACTTTTCACTTTTCACTTTACACTTGCATGCAAACAGACGCTCTTGAAGTGCAATTTACATAGAATGTTTGAAATTATAATTTGGGCAAATTTAGCAAAACCCTCCGTAAGTATAGATATTTTACAGATAACCCCCCTTAACCTTTAAAATGTCACACAACCTCCTAAATCTTGGAGTTATCTGGCCCCTTCAACTTTTAATGTTTTTCAAAAAATCCTCCTGACTAGCTAACCGCGATAGTTTGGCGTGTTCTCTGACGAAAATTAAAGTGGATTCGTGACATTTTGAAAGTTAAGAGGCCCATCTCAGAAATGCCCCTAGTAAGAATGAAAGAAGTAATATCGTCAATTTGTTTTCTTCCTTTTTTTTTTGGTGTGTGTTTGGGGTGGGGGTGGGTTTTTTCTTCAAAACCAAGGGGTCATCTGACAAATGCCTAAAGTTGAGGGAGGTTTTATGCAATTTACACCTATAATTTTACCTAAATTTCATTTTGGAATACTGTGGAATTTGGACCATTTTCTCACTTAATTGCAAATTTACAATTTAGCTCAACAAGAGCCACACAGATGAGCAGGAAAGCATTTCCAATAACCATTTTCTCAAGTGGCCTGTTTTACAATAAAATATAATGGTAAAACTTCTAAACCACGAACAAAATATCAAGAAATAGCAAAATTTTCTTTCGACAAGTGAGTAATACCAACTCAACCTAATCTAGTTTAACTTGGCTTCTCACAGTACAAAACCCATTCAACACAAATGAAGAAATTACTCACTTCACATTTATTGTAGTACAAGTGCGTCCTCCATTCATTAACCTAAAATCAATCACACACACAGAAACAAGCCACCATGCCAAGCAATTACCTACCATCAACACATGAAAATTATTGCAAACACATCAACCCATCTATTGACCTCCAATCTTCTCTCGTTCTTATCTTCGCCCAACACCCCCCCACTGCTCCCCACCTCAATAATTCACATCAATGAAAGACGTGTGCCGACCTAACCATGAAACGCATAAGAGACGGATTCGATTTCAAGAATCACCAGATGATAACACAACGCAAGGCAAAAATTACGCAGCACCAACTATGCTTTTTTGTGTGCTTTGGAATGCTCGGTGTGCATGTTCCCCTCAGAAAGCAACTCATATAGCTAATACTTGGGCCCCTCATTCCCTTCAGTGGTCACTACCGGCCAGCCCCTCTATTATTTGAGGATCTCTCCCCTCCCACCTCCCCCTCTCCCTCCCCCTCCTTATCTTGGACCTCCTGATCTTGAAAACTTCTAGCTAGTATGGCGACTTTGCCTGAACTAGTTTCCCCGGCCTCAGTTGCGGGTGAGGACCTAAAGAAGAAAGATGGTAAAAGAGTGATCCATAGAGGCGAAGGGTCTTCGTCCTTCAACCTTCGAAGCCTTTCGAAGCTCATGCCTCCGCCGTTGGGCGTGTCGGGCTACGTTCAAACTCAGGCTGCGTGCAGAGGGAGGGTTATCTCGCCTCTGGATTCCAGATACAGGTTAGAATCAAAACATGATCGCCCGTTCATGTAACGTGAACATGAACAATACACATGATGGAATTATATAAAGTAAGGAGTGATTTGATGATCATTTGCTCAGGTGTTGGGAATCATTTATGGTGGTTCTGGTGGCTTACTCGGCATGGGTTTACCCCTTTGAGGTGGCATTCTTGAGCGCGGCTCCAAAAGGAGGGCTCTGCATCTTTGATAATGTTGTCAACTTTTTCTTTGCTGTGGACATTGCTCTGACTTTCTTTGTGGCCTACATCGACTCCAGGACGCAACTCCTTGTTCAGGATCAGAGGAAAATAGCCGTCAGGTATTTTTTTTATAAAAAGATATTTCAGTGTTTGTTGTTTCGGCGTTCCATGAAATTAAGAACCATATTCGAGAGGAGGGAATTAGCTAGAACCGTATTCAAGTGGAGGGATGGAGTTCTCACTTTCAACTTTACTAACTTCAATTGAGTAAAAAGTAATCAAAAACATAGAGGGAAAAAGTGTTTCGAAGCGAAACTAGACAGGAAGGGAAGGGAAAGGAAAAAAACTCATCATCTTTGAAACCAAGTAGAAATTTCTGAATCCCTCCAATAAGCCTCGTTTTGACGGTTGATCAAGGGGGGGAAATGTTTGGGATATCACCCGCGTTCACACTTACTTATGACAAGCAGGCTTTCCTTTGTTATTTATACGGCTAGCACTTGGATGAGATTCTTTTGCTTCAATTCTCTTGAACACAGGAAAATCGGCCTACTGCACATGAAATTAACTCATGATGGATCATCTCTAAGATTCGGATGCATTTTGGACGTAAAATTCAATGCAGTTTCTGTTGCGCGTCGGCACAAACCAAACGAGTTGTCGAGCAATGAGAGGAGAAACAACCAACAAGTGCAATTCACAAAAGAACAGCCAAAATCAATCACAAGCACAGAGATTTATGTGGTTCGACAATTGCCTACGTCCACAGGGAGTAGATGTGGAGATTTCACTATATGGAGGAGAAATATAATGGGTTACAACCCTCTCAAACATTCAAAATAACCCTAACCAACAATCTCTTACTCCCTCATAATAATCTCCATCTCAAAGTGCTCAAATGACTCTTTTATCTATGATAATAATCTCTTCTAAAACGTTCTATATATATATAAACCCCTAAAATAAAAACAGACTAGTAATCCAACAATTCTAAAACCAAAACCAAAACAGACTAGGAATCCTATTTGGCCCAATAACCTGCTATCCAACAATTCTCCACCTCGGTGAAATGTTCACAAAACTGAGTCGACACCAACATGAGCACAAATGTGTCGTTTCTCTAAATCCGGCTGCACCAATGTGATTGCCTACGTACCCCCTCTCCCATGGGATCAAGTTGGTGTGTAGTTTATCCAAATAGCCTCGAAAGGCCTCAACAAGCACAAATCCGCAACAAGCTTCTACCCGTATAGCGATTTCTTCAATCTACGCACCAATTTCTTCTTTCGGTAGCTCGAACCCTAATGACTGAGTCATATAAATTTCTTCATCAAGATCACCATGAAAAAAAATTGTTTTCACATCCAACTGATCTAATTCCAAACCATACTGTGCTATCAAAGCTAGTAAGATTCAAATCGAAGAGTGATTCATCACCAAAGAAAAGATTTCATTGTAGTTAATGCCTTCTTCCTATGCATAATCATTCTCTACTAATCTAGCTTTGAACCTCACTGAAGTGCTCTGAATGCCCTCCTTCTTGGTATACGCTCATTTGCAACTAATTTCCTTTCGCCCCTTTGGAAGCTCGACAAGCACACATGTGTCATTCTTCTGAAGAGAATCCATCTCCTCTCGCATAGCCTTCTGTCACAAATCAGCCTCTGAACTCTGTTCAACCCCTCTGAATGTAATGGGAATCATCTCATCGACCCTCTCTACCAAAAGTGCATACATAAACACTGTATCTGTATACATTGCTGGCAACCGTATGTCTCTCATCAGTCTCCGAATTGTAATAGAATCCTAAACCTGAGCCTGTTTGCATTAGAAATCAATTTCACTGTTGAATCCATTACAACGTTTACCGTTTACACAGATTCAAAAGAGTTAATATTTTTATAAGATTTCTCGTTACAACGAAATCAAAAAGAGATCTCCTGGAAATACACGCAAAGAACGTTTCTCGATCGCTGCTTGCGTGGGATCTTTGCCTGTGCCGGGGATGCTTTGATTCGTGGATCACCTATTCAAGATCTAGTTTGATCGTGAAGAAGACTCGGGGTTCTTGTTTTAACGAGGAAACTAGAACAGAAGTAAATATCTCAGCGATGTAAAATAAATACTCTTCTCAAGATCAAAACAACGGTTTGATCTTAAGGGAATGAATAAAAGCCCACAAATCTCTCAAAATCTTCTCTTTATGTGTAAGAATTCACCAAGATCCCACATTTCTCTCTGAAAATCGTGGCTCTGGTATGAAAATCGTAAGTTCTCTCACACGTTGTTTGGGGAGAAAGTCGATTTGTTCATTGCTGTGTTCATTACAACTTCAAACATTACAATGAAAACAGAAGTTAGTCTTTTTATAAGACCTTTACACAATAAAAATAAAAAAATACAACTCTCATCAAACAACACAACGGGTGTTTATCGTCTGCTGCTTGCGTGGGATCTTGGCTTGTGACGGGAACGTTAGTATCCGTGGATCACCAAACGGTCAGATCAGATCCGAAGCTTCATTGATTCGCGAGGGAATCAGGAAGCCAAAGCAATTATCTCAGCAACAGCGAGATAATCACTCTTCTCGAGATCACCGCAATGGGGCAATCTCAAGGCAAAGAACTGGGAAGTGTAGATCTAACGAGCTCCTCTTCTTTATGCTAAAAAACTCGCTCCAATCTCCTCCTCGCTTCTAAAATTCGTGCTCCTTCAGTCTTCAGTTCGGTAGAGCTTCACCAACGCTCGAGAATTCTAGATCTGAAAAAATAAAGACCCTGTGGCCGTATTTATAGGTTTTGGGACCTCTGATTTCGGATAAGAACGATCGATTCACTCTTATCTTCAAATGTAACCACTTAACCATGCTCTTGGATAGATTCAGATCAGTTGGAACAAATCCAGGTGGTTAACGTCGAAAAATAGCTTAAAACTATCAAAAATCGGTTTTTCGAGCTGCGGACACCCGTGGGTGTCTCGGCCTGGCCGAGACACCTCTGGGTGTCTCGGCCTGACCGAGATACCAATGAGTGTATCGAGTATTTTGGCTCTAACTTTCTCATATGACCTTCAAATAATATGATTCAAGATGCGTTGGAAATCTGACGAAGATATCTATAACTTTTATCTTTTGAACTTTTGCATATTCGAATTGAATCATGATCAAAATCTCTATTCTTCTCTGAGACAACAACAATATCTCGGAATTCTAAGGCAGCTGGTATTTTGGCTTTATCACTCTCATACGATCTCAGAATGAGTTGATCCAAGATGCGTTAGAAAGTTAACAAGGAGCTCTACAACTTTCATCTTTTGAGTTTCTTTAGATTTAAAGTGCATCATAGGTAAAACAGCTCTATAAGGGCCGAGACACTCTTGGGAGTCTCGCCGAGGCCCGGAACGTTGTTCTGCGCGTCTTGTCTGTTTCAGCCGTATCTTCGCCATCCGAACTCGGAATCGTGCGATTTAAGATACGTTGGAAAGCCGTCGAGAAGATCTACCAGCTCCCATGATTGAATTATCTGTGGAGTGGATGGGACACGGGGGGTATTTCGTCTTTCATAAGTGACGCGGAGCTCCCGATCAGTTCGTGTTTCTGTTATTCCGAAGTTCCGTTACTTCGCATGGTTCATTGACTCACTTTATGCGCTTGTCAATGTCGATTAAGATTTTGTGACTCGAATAGTGATATTCATCGTCTTCTCTGTGTCTTGAGCCGCGTGCGGAGACATATAGGTAATTTTTGACGCCTACACACGTGCCTCCGTTGCTTATTCATTCCGTCTTTTCACGCGTTCCTTTGCTTCCTTTTGGTGTCGAATGATCTTCTTTGACTCAGATGATTATGTTAATCGTATCCTCTTCATCTTGAGTTGTATCCGGGAACTTTATAGGTAATTTTTGACGTCTACAGTCTAAAGTTTTCAGTCTCCTAAATCTTTTATCGAGGAGTCTGAAATACTTTGGATAAGATAGGCCATGTTTTCAATCTTACGTGAAAAGGACCTATGAATGGCTTCAGTTCTTCAACTTCTTTGGCTTTCGACTTACTCAGTATTTTGTCGAGTAGTCTGAAATACTTTTGGTGTTGCGTTTATCACTTGACCATCGTCAAAATCTTGAACTAAAACTGGTGCGTTGATACCTGAATTAGCTCGTGTTATTGAGTCGACATTGAACTGATCATTTTCGTCGGGAGTTTATTTATGAATTGCATTTGAACTTCGTGTGCGGGAAATAGAATTATCCTAATCCTGATTTTGGCGAAATTTGTCGGGCATAAAGAGAAGATTTTGAGAGATCTGTGGGCTTTTATTCATTCCTTAAAGATCAAACCGTTGTTTTGATCTTGAGAAGAGTATTTATCTTACATCGCTAAGATATTTACTTCTGTTGTAGTTTCCTCGTTGAAACAAGAACCCCGAGTCTTCTTCACGATCAACCTAGATCTTGAATCGATGGTCCACAGATCAAAATGTCATCGGCATAGGCAAAGATCCCACGCAAGTAGCGACCGATAAATGTTCTCTACGTGTGTTTTCAATAGATCTCTTTTTGTTTTCGTTGTAACGAGAAATCTTATAAAAAGATTAACTCTTTTGAATATGTGTAAATGATAAATGTTATAATTGGTTCAACAATGAAATTGATTTCTGACGCAAACACGCTGGTGATCACAGTAGGAGCCAACAGCCTCTCTGCCAAGGCTGTCGTATCACAACCGAAGATCAAGATCCCGATTGATGCAGAGATCGTGTATGAGTTCGACCAATAGAAGTTTGAGGAGTATATCTCATCCTCCTCCTCCGGATCCTCCTCCCCTCGCAAGTATAAGAAGATCTCCTCCTCGAAGAGGATCTTTGCTTTGGTCGAGATGCACTCTATTTGTTTCGCTTGTAAAGTGAAGTATTATAAAAAGGCTCACTCTTTTATTTCTATTTGTATTCGATAAACAATTGTAACAGAAGTTGTAATGAAACTGATTTTTGACGTAAACAAAGTCGTCGGTCCTGATCCTGCTCTGCTGTACCTGTATTTTCCAAATCATCACTGTGCTTGCCTGGCATCACCTCAGTCGACACTCTAATGGATACGATCTTATCTGGACAATGTGGAGCTGCATCAATCTCTACCATCTGCAATGTCTCTAATGTTGAGATGATCTCCACCTGATGAGAGCTAGAAAGCTTCAAGATCAAAGCCTCATAAAAAATAACGTCTTTACTCAACACAATGTTCTTCTCAACTGAATCCCAAAACTTGTATCCTTGGCACCACATTTGAATCCCACAAATATGGTCTTCCTACCTCGAGGTTCTAATTTATCAGTTCTGACATGATAAAATGCAAGGCACCCAAATGTCTTGACCTGGTTATAATCGTGTGCTGCCTCTCCTGGCCACATCTCCATAGGGGTTTTTCTCTCAATCGCAGATGAAGGTAGCCTATTAATGAGGTGGCTCACTTACATAAGTGCCTCAGCGCAAAATATCTTTTCCAAACCACTCTGCGATAATAAATATCAGATCTTCTCTAGTAAAGACCGATTCAACCTCTCTGTCACCCATATTCTACTACGGTGTATGACTAACTATGAAGTGTCTCTCTATGCGCTCATTTTGATATGGCTGCTGAAAGGGGTCTGAAGTGTACTCGCCGCTGTTGCCGGATCTTAATATCTTGATCTTTCTCCATGTCTGCAGTTCTAATCTTCTCTTCCACTCCATAAATATCTCTAGGACCTCACTCTTCTTCGTCATGGTGTACACCCAACAACGTCTAGAATAGTCATCAATAAATATGACGAATCAATATCGACCACCAAGTGATGTCGTCTTGGTGGGACCCCAAACATCCGTGTGCATATAGTCCAAGATACTTCTCGTCCTATGAACGACTATCCTGAACTTCACCTTAGTCTTCTTACCAAGAACACAATGCTCACATAATTCAATCTTCCCACTCTTGGCTCCCTTCAATAGCCCCTGCTTGCACAACGCCTGCAATAACTTTTTTCCTGTGTGCCCTAATCTATAGTGCCAAAGTCTGCCCATGACCGTCTCTGAAATAACTGAAGCTACCTGGTCAATCTCCATGCTTCCCTTCAAATAATAAAGATTCCTACTGCGGACTTCTTTCATCACTACCAAAGATCCCTTAATAACTTTTACTACAGCGCTCTCAAAAGTCACATAAAATCCCTTTTCCTCCAAAGCTCCAACAGAAATAAGATTATTCTTCAACTGAGAAACAAATCTCACTTCATTCAATTCATGAACATCTCCATCGTGCATCCGAATCCTGACGGCACCTATCCTGCAAATTCCACAGAACTAATCATTTCCTATGATCACCACATCCCCATCGAGTTTCTCAAAAGATGCAAACCAATCTTGCCGAAGAGTCATATGATAAGTAGCACCAGAATCCAGCATCTAATCTAATGCATCAACATGGTTAACCTCTAGAGTAATTAATAGAGAAAAGCATAAATTGTCAGAATCATCACCTCTAGCGACATTCACCTCATTGGCCTTCGGGCTCTTCTTCTTGCTATTCTCCTTCTCTCTGAGCTTCGGGTAAATTTTCTTCCAATGTCCTTGTTCTTTGCAAAAAGCACACTGATTCTTCGCTAATTGGTAGTGACCTCTTGACTTTGACCTACCTCTGTTGCCACCTCTTGGATAGGGAAACCTTCTTCTGGCCGACAAGACCTCTCTTGAAGTGCTAGCTCAGGAAGACTCTTTATCCTTCATGCTCAAATCAATATTCATCAATGCATTAGTCACTTCACTATAGGTGATGAAAGATCTACCATTCAACAATGTGAGCACAAAGATATCAAAATCCTCATCCAATAATGAGCCTAACAAAATGATTACCTTGTACTCATCCGATATCTTCTCATCCACATTGGCCAAGTCCGACAATAACTTTGTATAGTTGTTCATATGATCCGCAAGTGAGGTACTCCTAGACATCTGGAATCTGAATAATCTTTGCAGCAAGTGCAATCAGTTCTTAACACTCTTCATAAGATACTTGTTGTTGAGAATCTCTTACATCTTCATCGCAAACGTCATGCCGATTACATCGTACTTCAACTCTTGTTCCAAACAAGGTCTAATTACCACACAAGCGTTTCAATTTATCTTGTCCTATATTGCCTCATCATACTTCGGTGGCCTCTCGTGGACCATGATGGTCTCTTCTAAATTTTGAGCATTCAAAGCATCCTACATATCACTCATCCACAACCCAAAATTGATCTTGTTGTCATACTTCACAACTCTGATCTTCGTATTCTGAATGACAACATGAACTGTACTCGTCATCGTCTTACTGCTTTCACCAACTTCTTCTCCCATTGCTTGCAAACTCCAAATCGTAAAGAAATATTCGAACTTGATAGATTTGTGAAATTACCCAACTGAACCCTAGATAGGATTCTAACACGATCACCCAACCACACGAGGAAGACGAGATCTCCAACGGCAACTCCACAAAGCTATTTCCACCGAAGCCTAGATCTCCAATATCCAAGCTTCTAACAGCTAATCTTCCTCCACCCAAAACAAACCCTAGATCTGAAACCCTAGGCTCTGATACCAATTGTTGTGCGTCGGCGAAAGTGTGCGCATAAACCAAACGAGTCGTCGAGCAATGAGAGGAGAAACAACCAACAAGTACAATTCACAAAAGAACGAACAAAATCAATCATAAACATAGAGATTTACGTGGTTTGGTAATTGCCTACGTCCATGGGGAGAGGATGAGGAGATTTCATTATATGGAGGAGAAATACAATGGGTTACAACTCTCTCAAAACTCAAAATAACCCTAACCAATAATCTCTCACTCCCTCACAATAATCTCCCTCTCAAAGTGCTCAAAAGACTCTTTTTTTCTCTGATAATAGTCTCTTCTAAAACATTCTATATATATAGAAATCCTTAAAACCAAAACAGACTATGAATCCAACAATTCTAAAACCAAAACCAAAACAGACTAGGAATCCTAATAACCCTAAAATCAAAACAGACTAGAAATCCAATAATTCTAAAATCAAAACTAAAATAGACTAGGAATCCTGTTTGGCCCAATAACCTACTATCCAACAGTTTCTAGCGCAGCGACAAATATATTGCATAATCTATAGATGAAAAATTATGTTTCTAATAAGCCGAGCTTCCAAAAGGCATGACATTTCAACTAAGGCTTAGCAGACCACTAATCCCTATTTGTAATGGTATGTCATCACAACGAGACGATCAGGCATCGGATATTGGTCGGTGCACAACTTGTTGGTAAATGATGCTGCTTTCACTTTGGATGGGATTGGGATATTGGGTAGATGAAAATTTTACCTAACCTAGTGTTTTAGGCATGGCATATATATCTCCCAAGACTACAAATTCTGAATTAATAAAATTGGAATTGGTTCAATATTATTGATGGGTTTTTACCTATATATCCCTCAAATCTGCTAGATTTTTAAATTTAGCCTCCTAATGTTCATGTTTGCCAAGTTACCCTAGTTTAAAGTTAAAATTTTAAGTTACCCTCAAATTTTCTTTTAAGATATATACTTATGTTAAGCTAAATGAATATTAAATATTTTTAAAATATGACTAGACTTATCTAATGCACTAAATTGGATTATTTAACTCATGTTCCACATTAATGAACTCTCCCTCCGTCCCCTCCGTCCCCTCCGTCCCTCTTTACAAAGTGAGATCGAGATCGAGATCGGGGGGAGGGGGGTTGTGGGCTAGGGGTAGCTACTTTTTTTATTGAAGGCAGAAGATAAGAATAAAATGAGTACTTTATTCAATTGTACTAAAAATCTAACAAAATTAAGTTGAGAGGTAAATTCGTAAATATGAACAGTCAGTGTAAATTTAAAAATATGGGAGATTTGAGGGGTATATAAGTAAAACCTATTTTGCTTTAGTTAATTTTCCCTAGTTAATGAATTCCTAATAGATTTAAACACTATTGCTATATTTTCCGAACTCTAGTTAGAAAATACCCTTTGGGCTTCCTAAAATGCTCTTCTGCATTTGTCGCTTTTTAAATTTTCAAATCATCCTTTCCAATATATTTCCTGCTTCCACAGTTGAGGGGGTTTAGTTGTCGATTCCCACTAGAATTCTTGCGGAAAGCTTTGGGTGTGAATTATATTAGTTACGTATTATGTTTTTTTTTTCACACCCAAGTCAAGTGAATTGTCACTACTAAAGACAGCTGACACTTTTTCTACCGTTTTCTTTAATCACGACAATTTTGATGAATGTTATCTGCGAAGGGAAAGATTGTACCAACTATATATAATCAACTTCAACTAAATATCTGTCCATGTAGCCGTCTAAATGCTAAAGCAACCTTCCGGTATAAGGGATCACACTAGATAGATATCATATTCATGGAATACGATTCACTTTGAAGATGCCTTGATGGTGAAATGGTAGACACGGGAGACTCAAACTCAAAACCTACCCCTTTTTGAGACATGATAAATGTGTGCAGATCTGCTCTAAAATTTTCTCTTAACAGGTATTTGTCAACATGGTTCATCATGGACGTGGCTTCAACAATTCCTTTTGAAGGTTTGGGTTACTTGATTACAGGAGAAGTCAAGACGGAGACGCCCTACATAATATTGAGCATGTTTAGGCTTTGGCGGCTACGCAAGGTTAAGCAGTTCTTTACAAGGTAACAAAACAATCAATTTTCGTGCAAGTTGGGGTTCACAGTTAAAAATTATTTTCCGACATGTTTTTGGGCTTTCAATGCAGACTTGAAAAAGATATCAGGTTCAATTATTTCTGGATAAGATCCATCAGACTCTTATTTGTAAGTAGTTTTTGTTAGTTCAATTCATCAAGTCATAAAAATTCGGTAGTGAAGAGTGACTTGAGTTAATAAATGTATACAGCATGAGGTTACCATGATGTTTGTTGAGATTTTCAAAACACTAATTGTGCAGGTTTCCCTATTTCTGGTGCATTGTGCTGCGTGTCTCTACTACTTGTTAGCAGATAGATACCCACACAAAGGGAAGACATGGATAGGTGCATTGATCCCAAATTTCAAGGAATCTAGCTTGTGGATCCGCTATATTTCCTCCCTCTACTGGTCGATTACCACGATGACTACTGTTGGCTACGGTGATCTCCATGCTGTGAACACGAGGGAGATGGTCTTCATCATATTCTACATGATGTTTAACTTAGGACTAACTGCATATTTGATAGGAAATATGACAAACTTGGTCGTAGAAGGAACAAGGCGCACAATGGAATTTGTAAGAACAATTCTCATCTCGGGAAGACAGTTTCCTATTTTAGTTATCATATTTATCATAGCGTGCAATTATCCTATTGTAATTACATTAGTTTCCAGATGAACTTGAAAGTTTTTTAATGAACCAGAACTGAATGTTCGAAAAAGTATGCTGAGTATTTGCTATGCTTGCAGAGGAACAATATAGAAGAAGCATCTAATTTTGTTTCCCGTAATCATCTACCTCCAAGGTTGAAACAGCAGATATTGGCATACATGTGTGTTAGATTCAGAGCCGAGAGATTAAACCAGCAGCAATTGATGGATCAGCTGCCCAAATCTATATGCAAAAGCATCTGTGAGCAGCTCTTCTTGCCAGTTGTTAAGGATGTCTATCTATTTAATGGTGTTTCAAGGGAAATGCTCTTGCTTCTGGTTAGAATTCTTGCCTCATGAAGATACCCATATCTAAATCTAGATATATTTATCTATGTGTAGCGTTCATGTACGTATGTGCATATGCAAACAAGCCTACATGTGCATTTATACATAAGAGTTCACTCAATTAGAAGGTAAAAGTAAAAATAACGATCAAAATGGTATTTGGATTTGGATCAGGTTACACAGATGAAAGCTGAGTACATTCCACCTAGAGAAGATGTTATCATGCAAAACGAAGCACCAGACGATGTCTATGTGATCGTTTCAGGTGAAGTGGAAATTATATACTCTGAAGAGGAAAAGGAACAAGTGGTAGGATCCCTAGGCACAGGAGATCTATTTGGAGAAGTTAGTGCATTGTGTAATAGGACTCAAGGTTTTACTTTCCGGACCCGAACTTTATCCCAGCTACTAAGGTTAAAGCACAGCGCGCTTAGAGAAGCTATGCAAGCCAAACAAGAGGACAGCATAATTATAGTTAAGAATTTTCTCAAGGTAAAAAAGAAATTTGTTTTCAAATGACTAAACATTATCATATTAGAAATTCAGTTATGTTAACAGAGCATTTGTATATTGCAGCATCAAATCGAATATAAGGATACAAGTCTTGATGATATTCTAACAGAGAACGGAAACCACAATGAAGCTAGGATTCCATGCACCGTACTGACTGTAACAGCCGCAGGAAATAGTTCATTCCTTGAACAACTTCTTAGAACTGGGATGGATCCAAATATTGGCGATTCTAAAGGAAGAACACCACTGGTATGCTTCCCTATCTAGAACAGTGTGCTGAGTATTTTAGTGACTATACTAGCATTTTATACAGATATGACCTCGACGTATGTATTTTCCTTGCTTACAAAAGCATTCGCTACACTGCTTTTTTTTTCCCGCTCCTAGGAGAAAATTGAATAGGCATAACCATGATACTTGAGAAATAAAACTGCACCCAGAAATTTGCGTTAGGGTCCATCTACCGACTACCTAACAAAGATAACAGTTACTTCAAGGTTTGGAGAGTGTGTGCCTTGATTTTTATTTAATTTTAATTTATGTTTGAACATGTGGTGACGAATCCTCTCCTTATCAATATTTGCAAATCTACAATACAGCACATAGCAGCAGCAAAAGGATTTGAAGATTGTGTTCTGGTCTTACTCAAGCATGGATGCAATGTAAATGTACAAGGTAAAAAACAAACACCACAAAGTCTCCTTTCTTCCACTTCTTCTATCATTGCCAATGCCTCGATGTGCATCTACCATTATCAGATTTTGATGGAAACACTCCGCTATGGATATCTATCGCCACAAGGCACCGCAATATTTTCAAACTCCTGTACCATTATGCAAGCAGCTCAAATCCCAACACTGCTGGAAACCTTCTTTGCCTGGCAGCAAAGCGAAATGACCTATCTACGATGAAGGATCTCTTGGAACATGGTTTGGACATAGACGCAGAGAATGATGAAGGAACGACTGCCTTACAAGTATCAGTGGCTGAAAACCATGACGATATGGTTCGGTTTTTAGTCATGAATGGTGCCAAGATAGAAAAGTTGAATCTAAATACATTGGAAACAAGCAAAATGGCCCAGACGTATTTTGAAGAGATGGTTCAGAATAGAGAAATTGGATATCCAATCGCGATAGTAAGACCCCCTAAGATTAAGCAGGCAAATCTGGTCGATAACCAGGATGATATGCTTAAGTGGGATAAACTTAGGAGGGATGAAAAAGGGGGTCACCCTCCGAGGGCTAGTATTTACAGAGGCCACCCACTGATCAGAAACCCATGTTCAGAAGCTGGGAAGTTGATAAGGTTGCCAAGCACAATGGATGAACTCAAGAAAACTATAGGTTTGTATATAGCTTTATTCCGCTCGCAACCAAATGCAGTAAGAATCTCACTGATATAGCTTTGGTTATTTTGACAGGAGATAAGTTCAGAGTTGATGGAAAAAATACAGTCATAACGAATGAGGATGGCGCAGAGATCGACTCCATTGAAGTAATTAGGGACAATGATAGACTGTTTATTGTTGAGAATGAAGAACTGGTAAATTTAAATGCCACATTATTGTAACGAAGAAATCAATTTCTATATATGGAGCTTGATCATATCATCATAATTTTCCTTACGATTATTATGTAAATAATACTCGATCGGTTAGCATGCTTCTTTTAAATAGTATATCTGCAAATCACATTTGATGGTAAACTAATGCCAGAAATCCCTGTGACTATTTATTTTCAGCAACATGTTTCGATCAAACAATTCCCATTTCATTCGTTTGACGTATCAGCGGAGAAGATTTAACGTAGATGATGTTGGTTTTGGAAGTGTGAAGACCGAAACCTGAAACAAAACTGTAAGTCTGGAAATTCTCGGGTCGGTCGACCGACATGCTGACTCCGATCGACCGCAACAACGGTAGGAAAACAACCCAGGAACTCACTCTGGTCGGTCGACCAAAGCAAGATGGTGGTCGACCAAGAGTGGTCATCCGGTCGACCGAAGGTGATGGTCCGGTCGACCGAAAACGTGCACCAGACCCTATAAGAAAACTATGTTCTGGCCGGTCGACGGACACTCATGGTCCGGTCGACTGAAGTTAGTTTTTCTAGTTTTTTAATTCATTTTGGAAACTGTTTTGGGTTGAGATCCTATATATACCTAAATTATTTTTGTAGAACACGTGAAAAAGATGGTTTTGAGAGGATTCTTTAAGAGAGATATCAGAGAGATAAAAACCTATTTGTGGGCATTGTAATCTTCTTCAATTAATCAAAGAATTGTGTGGTGTGGCTCCCGAGGACGTAGACATATTACCGAACCTCGTTAAATCTGGTGTGTTCCTTCTTGTTTATCTTTCTTACAATTTTTCTTTTATTTGTGGTGATTGTTCTACTTGCTGAACTCTTAGCACAAGATCCGAAAGGACACGGTTTCGATTGATTGATTGTTTTGAATTCCCTACAACTTGTACCAGAGCTTCGTTCAGAAGATTTGTGCGAGAACTATGGCAGAGGAATGCAAATCAAAGATCGAGAAGTTTGACGGGTCAGATCGCCTACTGGAAGTCGCAGATGGAGGACTATCTGGACCAGAAAGACCTTTTCCATAGGTTGATGGGAAAGGCCAAGGGAAAGAAGAAGCAGGAATCAGACGAGGAGTAGGAAATACTGGATAGGAAGGCTTTAGGGCAAATCCGATTGTCGCTCACCAAATCGGTCACCCGCAATATATTGAAGGAGAAGAAGATGGTGGTGCTTATAGAAGTGCTCACGAAGATGTACGAGCAACCGTCAGCCGCAAACAAGATGTATCTCATCAAAACGCTCTTCAACCTCAAGATGGCAGAAGGATGCTCCTTCACGATGCACCTCAGCTAGTTCAACATGATTGTTGATCAACTTATCTCCATGGACATCACGTTTGATGACGAAGTACAATGCCCTATTGATTCTATCGTAGTTACCGGATAGTTGGGCAGGTTGCGTGACCGTAATTAGCAACTCGGCCCTATTGATTCTATCGTAGTTACCGGATAGTTGGGCAGGTTGCGTGACCGTAATTAGCAACTCGGCGGGGAAGGAGAAGTTGAAGCTGAGTGAGGTTGTTAGCATGATTCTATCCGAGGAGGTTAGAAGGAAATCGTCCGAATCAGAATGTTCAAGTTCGGTACTAAATCTCAAGTAGAGAGGCCGAAGCTAGAAGAAGGGTAACCAGAACAAGAATTGTTCGAAGTCAAAGAAGAAAAGATCGAACTCGAAGGTTATGCCTATCAAAAGGAAGTGTTAGAACTACGGTCAGGAGGACAATATGTCTTTAGTCTGCAAAGCTAAGAAGGATGTGAAGGAGCAGGAGGCTCACATCATGCAAGATGCTTTGATCCTTGCTATGGACAGTGATTCTGATTCATGGGTAATTGATTCAGGAGCCTCTTTCCACGCTACTGCTAATACGAAGCTTCTTCAAAACTATGTAGCAGAGGACTTTGGAAAAGTATACTTAGGGGGACAACGAACCTTGCAGTATTGTTGGAAGAGGCGACGTGCAGATTCAGATGAAGGGTTCCAAGTAGAATTTGAAGAATGTCAGACACGTACCGAATCTAAAAATGAATCTTATTTTGGTTGGCCAGCTTGGAACAGAAGGCTATATTTTAACATTCACCGGGGATTCGTGGAAAATCTCCAACGCTATTATGGTGGTTGTCCGAGGCAACAAAATAAGAACTTTCTATCTCGCTTCACATGCGAGTGACACCCTTACTGTTGACCCTATAGTTTTGATGATGATTTGTCAAACAATTTATAGCTAATATATTCTCTAGTTTTGTGTTTATGTTTCTATTTATAGGTATTTCAACACACGTCAATCAAGCGTTAAAGATTCAAGTTCATATGTGTGGATTTACCTAGGTATAAGTTTAGTTTACTTACATATATTGTATGATTAGATCTAAGCTCAATATATGTACACTTAACACGATTTTTGACGTTTTCTATCATATAAATGATTTTTCATCAAACGTTGTTACAATATCTTATATCTCATGTTTACAGCTCTTTCATAATTCATTATATACATATAATACATGCATAATATATATATACATATTTACAAGCCTTATGTTAATTTTCATGTTCACGAAAAACATGTTTTCTGAACACTTTTTAAAAATAGGGAGTTTTCACAAACGAAAATTGATTTTCCAAAAATTTATTTTCAAACATGTTTATTTCATCATTTAGAAACTTTTCCCAAAGTTTCACTATTTTTGGAATTGATTTGACATTCGCGGTCGACCGCCAGCTTTATTTTCTCATACCCTGTGTTTTTGAGCTTCGCGGTCGACCGCACCGGTCGACCGCCGAACTGTCAGTTCACTTCTAACGGCTAGTTTTTACAGCTGTTTTCAAATTGGTTTTTTTGGTCTTTTACTTATGTTTTTACTGATGTATTGGGGTGCTATAAATACCCCATTGCTGCTCTCCTTCCATACATCCAAGAAATCCAAGTTTTGTGTTTAACAAAATTTTAAGTGTATTTAAGAGCTGTTTAAAGTTGATTTCATCAATCTGTTTTTAAGAGAAGTTTTTCTACAACAAGAAGTGGCCTTCAAATCCTATTGGGATCATCATCTACTGTTCTTCTTATTTGAGAAGTCTTCTAAACTCTTATATAGCTTATTATTTTATTTTCATTTCATTTAGCTATATTTATTGAGTTTTATTCACTGTTATCACACACACTTATTGAGCTTAATATTTTCATACCATATAGTGTGGGTTGTGGGTTGTGGAGTGTGATTTAGTAAGTGTGAGCTTCATTGTGTTCTCACTTGTTATTTGAGAACATATCATTGTATTTAATTTTTATTTGTGAGAATCACTTGTAATACACTTGTACACCGAGAGAAGTGTGAGGCGAGACACGGGGTCGAATCCAATAGGAGTGACGTCGATTGACGAACCTAGGGAGAGGTTATAACCGAGCACTTGAGGAGGAGGACACGGGGTAGGTTCCTACACTTAGTGTGTAAAGTGTGATTACATAGTGTTTGTGTAGTGTGAGAGTTTTCGGTGATCTTGTAAACCGAGTGTATAGAAGTTCTGGCTTCCAAACCGGATTGTGATAGTGGATATCTCCTCGAGATGAGGAGCGGGGACGTAGGTCGTGGTGACCGAACCTCGTAAACATATCGTGTGTTTGTATTTTGCTTAGCGTATATTCTTTTTGTGCTTATTCTTATTATCCTTATTCATATCTATCTATTGCAAGAATAAATTGATCTACATAATTTTTAATTAGCAATTAATTAGGATTAGATTAGCATAAGACCCTAATCACCCCCCCCCCTCTAGGGTCTAACAATTAGTATCAAAGCTTGGTGCTCTTTGTTTTAAGGACTAACCGCCTTGAGTTAAAGATCTAAGTTATTGTATTTGTGTTAATCTAATTTTGATTGCATTTTGCTTCTTGCATATTATCTTTATGGATATGTATGATTCATCTAGTTTAGGATATGCTATTAATATTGCTCCTCGTTTGGATATTTTTTCCTATGCTCAATGGCGTATTAGATTCAAACTATTTGTTCAATCTAAACAATTCGAATTGTGGGAAATTATTGAGGACGGATTTGTTGTACCCATTTTGGAAAAATCCAAATGGTGTGAAAATGATAAAAGATTGTTTAATATGAACAAGCTTTTGTTAGAATATTTGATTAATGCTTTTCACTCTTCATTTTCTAACAAATTTGCTAATTTTGATAGTGCTTACGCCTTATGGAAATTTATTGAAGCACATGACGGAGACCTCATCTCCATGTATAATTCCACTAGGTGATAACCCTAGTGAGGTATGCGAGCTTGATAACGATGATATTATTACTTTTAATGAACTTGCTCTTGAGTTTGAAAAATTACACAATTGCTATATTGATGTAAAGAGTAAGTATGTAAATATGAAATCCATTCATGAAACAATAGCCACTAAGTTTAATTTTATTGCAAATGAAAATATAATTCTTAAAGAATGCAATGAAAATTTGAAAATTGAAAATGCTAGTTTGCTTCATGAAAAACGTGATGCTATGTTAGAAGTAGATAAGTTGAAATCTATGATGAGTAATCTTGTTTATCCTACTTCTAGTAGTAATGCTTGTATGCACAATGATGAGTTGAATCAAATGAGAAAACGAATATCTACTTTAGATTCAACACTAAACACTTGTATTGCTAATAATAAAAAGCTTATGGACTTATGTGCAAAATTCAATGTTAATTCTTCTAAGAAACCTATTCACTATGCATATATGTATGACAAAACTCACAAATGTTCTATTTGTGGTCTTAAAGGCCATTTAGCTCAATTTTGTCATAATCCACCAAAAATTGACAAGCCTATTCATGATTGTGCATCCCATCAAGCTTCTTCATCACATACACATGTACACACACATAGTGTAAATCATAAACATGCTCATGTGTATAAATGTGATTATTGTGGTCGTCTTGGTCATTTAGCCATGTTTTGTTTCGATTTGAAAAAAAATTCTCGTTTGCAAAATAATTACAAGGAAAAATATATTTTTGCAAATGAACCACGTGCATTCCATTTTGGTCAACGTAAACCATTCAAACCTCTACATTGCACAAATTGCAATCGTATGGGTCATGTTTACAATTTTTGCTTTGATCGTATCGGTGCACAAAACACGCCCAAGCGGGTTCATAACCCTAGGGCCTTGGATTTAAATGATAGGGGTCATGTCCCAAAGTTTAGTGGTACCAAAATGATTTGGGTACCAAAATGATTTTTATATCATTTTTTTGTTGTTTTGTTCGATTTTGTTTTTGCTTTTGGTTTTTGAATATAAATCTTTCTTTTTGTTTAGCTAAAATAAATTATTTGTATGATTTTATAGCTAAAAACATTTATATATATTTTATAAAACATTTAGTATATTATAAAACAAATTTCTTAAAGGTCTAATTTGAAAATTTTCTCAAAATCCAATTTTTACATTGCTTGTGCTCTTTATCTTCTCGCGGTCGACCGACCCGGTCGACCGACGAAGTCTCTGTAAGTTGTTTCGGTTGACCGCGTCGGTCGACCGCAAGAGATTTTTTTCTGTTTCGATTTTTATATTTTATCGGGTTTCGATTTTTATTTATAACTGTTTCAAAACCCGATTTGTTCTCCACCATCAATCATTAGCTTGAACGCATCTGGACCATTGGTTTTTCCTCTAAAGAACTCGATCCCCTTCCTTCCTCTTTCATTCGTTCCCAAT